ACCACCACCACCACCAAAACAACGACGACGACGACGACAACAATAACTCCTAAATATGCCACAGGCTCTAAGCTACTACGGAGCCGTTAGTTTGGAACAACCTGCTTACTGGGTCAGCTTGAAGATACCTTACTCTGCCAAGACCTCTTCAGCCAAACTACTTATTCTGCCTGTTTGTTGCAAACGGCTTTCGGTTCAACGGTAGTGATCTTGATGAAGAGTGGAGCCGAAGTAGCATTCAGCAAATGTGCTGAAACATAAGGGGGTTCCGAAAATAGGGACCCTAATATAGTACCCTAAATAGTAAGATCCTTATTATAAGGACCCCAAAATAAGTAAAGCCAGCCGGTGCAGGTCTGTCATCTGCTACTCTCGGGCTTCCTCAGGCGTCCTTCCTGAGGCCCTACTGTACTGGGATCCTTAAGGACGCCAGTGGGAGTCGGTGTTTATCCGGAGACAACAGATATTTCCAGGGGGCAGGAAGAGCGCACCTGCTTGGATTGCCACCGCAACGCCTCAGCAACAAAGCGACCATGCACCTGTCGCCATGCCAGTGATATAGTTCATACATAGTAGTTGATCGGCTGCAGGGAACAGGATTGCAGAACCCATGCTGGATCGGTGCCCACTCGGTGCCCAAACGTGCACTAGCAATGTTGATATCACCACAAGCACGGATGCAGTACCGCCTCAAGCTGAGCAAACATCCCGGGCGCGACATGTTGGATCCGACCCTCATGGTAGACAAAGGCGACCGAAATCAGAGAACGCGTGCACAGCGCCAAAAAAACGCAAAGTGGATTCACACACAGAGGCTATGTTTCAATCCAGCATCTAAACCCAATTGTGAACCCTCCGGTAAATCGTAAATACCCTGTAAGGACACCTTGGGCACAGGGGCTCAGCAGGAGCAGTCCACTCGTCCCCTGCTCGTAACGCGGCCCGAGGCAGACCAAATAGGAGTCCTTGCACATAACTTGGAGCGGATTCAGGTGCTTAGGTTTAGGGCTAAGCTTTGCCACTCTTTGTGCTTTTCCCTTGTCGAACAACAACCGAAAACCCAAACATCTATCTATCTATATATATACACATATATAATCAATAAATAATAAGAATAAGAATAATAATAATAATACTAATAATAATAATTATTATTGTTACTATATGATATATGCTCTATATATATATATATATGTATGTATAATCTTTTGCACAAGGCGATTCATGCCGAGAGTCGAGGAAACCAGTGGAGTCCAGTGTGGAAAGCAGCCAGATCAGGGACACGAGGCCCGTCTTTACAATGAGATCACCTTGAAGTTCAGGAGAAGTTAGGGGCATGCAGTAGAGCTGCATCAAAGGTTTCAAGCCCACTTTAGACCTTCCTGTCCTGCACACCTTCCTGTCCTGCACACCAAGCCCGACATGTTCATATTCATAGAACCAGTGGCAGTTTGTACCAGTTTTGCCCCCAGAGCTTCTCTCTCCCTGTCTCGTTCTCTCTTGCCAGAGATCCCCAGTTGGCCACTGAGAGAAACTTTTGCGGAGTCGAGAGAAGTGAGGATGCGATCCCCAAGGAGAAGATCTCCCAAGAAATCGGAAAAGGCGTTTGGGAAGGCCGCAGCGGGAATCTTCGGGTCGGCGCTGGGCTGGGTCGGAGTGGAAGAGGGAGACTTCGGATTAGTTGAGTCATCTTGAATCGACTCCATAGGAGTAGGAGCGCACCAAACAACAGCCTGTCAACACCTGCATCAACACCTGCATCAAACCCTGCGCCTGTACCTTCATCCCCTTCTTTTTCCACGCCACGTGCACGCGCACCACTCTGGAGCACGCGTGCGCCCTGGTCTCAAGTCGTTGAAGTGACACTGCACCCTCTCTCACCCTCTCTCGTTCTCTTTTCTGTGTCTCTGCCTCTCTTCTCACTCCAAAGTTGTCTTCTGAAGTGCACCCACGTGGCTGTTCCCTTCGCCGCTGATGTCCTCGCCTTGCTCGTAAGCTTCACGCAGCGCATCATTGTAGGCACCACTTTGCATCAATACCTCATGACTCATGACTGATCACTACTGGCTTGCATCCCAACGACTGGCACCACCATTGAGAGCTGTGCACTCGTATTGACATATAGTGCGAGGATATCCGAACAAGTCGTTGCAAGAAATTTATTGGCCCAGGTGCACGAATCGTCACATCCACTTCGGCCTGCAAAGTCTCTCTCAGCCGCATCGCAACAAGACGAATTCAGCAGTTCTCCATGCTGCACATGACGCTGGCGGCCCCGTTTATACCCCTCCATGCCGAAGAAGAACCGCAATATCCCCCGCCTCGAAGCCTTGGATCGCCTGTCGGATCTGGGCTTCGTCGTGTGGATCGGAGCACGTAGCATCCTGCGCAGTGGAGGGGCTGGAGTCGTCAGCGGGTCGCAGCCCATGAGAGCCCCTGCTCGCATAAAGGACGACGGCTCCGAGTTCTTTTAGCCCTCAGCTTGGAGATCAACAGCGGCAACGAGGTTTAGGAAGTTCTCTGCTGTTGGAATGGGAACCCAAACCGCCTACACTGACCAAGAGAGGTCGGACTAACTATGCGCTTGAATGATCTCCCACCGAAGGCACTGACGAAAAGGTTCATACCTGAATTTTAAACTATAGAAACCATGAACCCACGCATCCGGCATTTTCTTCACAATGTGCAGGGAGGCTTTGCAACATGAAAAATTGCTTAGTCCGTGAATGGTATCCTCCAGCGTCTGAATGGCCAGCAGGCTGGCTTGCCTGCGCAGCTCCACATCCTGCGTCGTTGTCAGCGGTTCAGGGTTTGGAGGCTTTCGGAGTTTACGGAGTTAAGAAGGACGCCGCTGCGCCGTTAAATTTTGCATTTAAGGATGCATCATGGTTTTCAATCGCTTTCAGGGTAGGATTGTGCCAGAAGCGTCCAACAGCAACACTCTCCTTTGCTCCCATTCAAGACTTTACACCTGCTAGGTTCTCCTAAACATACATAGTTTACATATCTAGACAACCCATGCGTCGCGTGATGGAGCCCATGTGTGCAGAATAGCATCTACACAACGTTCATCTCTGGGCTGGACCTTGAAATCGGCTGAAACCCGTATGCTCCGAGTCGTCCTCCAAGTGGTGTAGGCTAAGCTGCGCTGCACGCCAAACGTTGAAGAGGCAGAGTGCGATTGGAATTAACCGCTCGAACACGTGATTCCAAACGCTGTTCTTCCATTCGAGCAGAACCGAATAGGGGATAGCCACTGCCGTACAAACGCAAATAACCAGGATGTGCACCATGCGGATCACCACGCATTTGATCCACATTCGAAGTGGTCTGGGAACAAATTCCATGACCAGCGCCCCGACGAAGCAAAGCAGTGTCAGCCCCACGCAAGTACTGAGGACAGGATCCACGAAGCAACGCGAGCAGGTTCTGCAACAATGGTGATAAAGTAGCAAAAGCCAAAGGAAACCTGTCTCAGTCTAGGTGCCATCATTGTCGCAACAGGCAAAGGCTAGGTTATAAAACAAATAAACGAACGGCTCAAACAAAAACATAGCCTTCCAGCCTAGCATTAGTCCGATGATGCTGGGCACGAGGATTGTGCGAATCGCCGCCTTGCATTGTGCCGACCTCCTCGGCCTCGCCGGCATGATGCAGGTCTTGTGCCAGCAAGTGCCCAGGTAGGCTTCATAGACACACCTGGCTAACGTCTGAACCGATCCTAGAAGGTTTAAACAATTATAATCGCACCCCAAGTATAATTATTACAATAAGATAGCAACAAAGGAAGTTCTAAAGGCCTACCAAACGAGCCAAGATACCACAGGCGTGTGTAGATACCTTCGACAGCAACCGAGATGGCTGCAACCGACGCAGGAGTAGCTAGGACTAGCAGCTAGGACCAACAGGACCTAGGATTTGGGGGTTGCTGTTGCTGCGGCTGTGTTGTCCGATTCGGACAATGTGAGCCAGAACTATGAACCCACCGAAGTTCCAAACAATCGCCTCTGTAGGCAACCGCAAATAGAGGAGAAAGGACTAAAGCTTGCAGGATCCTAATATATTATACTATATTGATAACAAGGAAGCCCCAGAGTAGTATATGTAATCATTATAAGGCCCCCTATATTATAGCCCAATAAGGAACTCCCAGAAGAGTATGTATGTACTCATTAAGGCCCCCCAAAATTATAGCCCAAGCGCTGACCGTGTCGTTTGGTATGACCAGAACGTGGGAGGCCGCCTGCATGGCCCTGGCGAAGGGGCTCTCCTGCCAAACGATGTGCAGATTGTGCTTAGGGTTTAGGGTTTAGGAAATTTAGGGTTTAGGGCTATTTCGTTTGCAGAAAGCAAGAAGAACCCGAGGAATACATGCATTCATGAAGTGGGCATGGTAGCCTGAAACAGATCCTGGGTAAAGAATGCCATTGTTATTCTTTTCGTCTTTTTCGGGGTTGACCCTGAACCTGAGAAGGTGCACGACACCAAAGGAAGGCAGCCAGAAAGTCCTCCGGGGGACCGCTGAGCAAAGCTGAGATATCCAGGTTTTGTGGGTTTGCCAGCAGGCAGCAATACCTGAGCTGTCAAGGCGTACGTACACAATATACATACAGACAAACAGACAGACACACACACACATATATATATATATAGAGATATATAGAGAGATACATGCATACATGCATTCATGCAGACAGACGGACAGACGGACGGACAAAGGCAGGCCAGGCAGGCAGGCAGGCAGGCAGGCAGGCAGGCAGGCAGGCAAGTAGGCAGACAGACAGACAGACAGACAGACAGACAGACAGACAGACAAAGGCTAGAGGTATCAACTACTCGACTGAGGATCGGCTGATGCTGATGATGCTCCTGCAAGGGCCCACTGATGATCATGTTTAATTTATTGCACGGGCCAGTCGATGCAACCTGATACAACTAACTGTTGCCTGCTGATTGCTGCCGACAACGGCCCAATCAATCGTTAATGCTCGATCTAGATACAGAAACGGCTGATGCTGACGGTCGTGCGCACTGATGCTGAAAGCGCTTGCCCGAGGGCTGTCTGACAATAATCATGCTCGCCGGAGGACCAGCTGATGCTTTGTGTGGCTCACTGCTGATGTTGCACTAGCCGCTGTTGCTGATGATTGGTCCCTGCAAACCCTATTAACATCCCTGAACCCTAAACCCGGTGTAAGGTCTTCGAGGCACATCTTGCCCGGGGCCTGTGTGAACGGCTGTCAGGGCCTGGAGAAAGTCGGAATCACCACGCGCATCATCACTCGTGACATCTCGCACGCAGCAAAAACAAGCAAGAAGGCTAGAGAACAACGCGCGGACAACGAATCAATACAATCACGGCAAAAAGCAGCACCCACGCAAAAGACTGACATAGCGTGTATACACACATGTATATATATAGACATATACATATACATGTACGTATACATATACATATACATATACGACATATACATAATATGTATATATATAGAAATATATATGTTTGTGTGTGTATGTCTATTTGCATTACTAATTATCTGCTTGACATTTCGAAGGCACAAGTTTCGCAGACCCTGTAGACGCGGCCAGCCGCGGCGCACAAAGTCTGACAGCTCGAAAATGCCTTCTGCCCAAGCATGGGAGATGAACACCTGCAGACGATGACCAGCGCAACTACAGCATGAACATCTGCGCATCAACAGGCAAGAGTAGTAGCAATAAACCTACAAACAATAGCAACTGTCATGACTTCAAATGTGTAGTAGGACGTCGACGACAACGCCCACTATCACTATCACAACGGCGACCACGGCTCACAGCAGTAGCACGCACAGTCAGCCTGGCAAAGGAGTCCCGCGGGATGCTTCATCAGAGCATAGCTCATGCTGCCGGCCGCGCGGGTCAAGGGCTTCACGTAGTGTTCGTTCACCTACCACAACGGAGCCATCGTCCAGAGTTCGGGCTGTCGGGTCGGTTTGGATTCAGGTGCGTCTTGGCATCTAGTGCGCGGTATATGCCCGCCACCCCCCTATCCTGATCCGTGTACGCCAGCTTGGTCCGAAGATTGGGTGTCGCAAGCGTGCCATTTAATCCAAGTGAGTTACGGGCCATAGGGGGGGGTTTTTACGCTCAGCCGACCTGGGGTTTGGATTCTGCCGACCTGGGGTTCGGAGCTTTTCATTCGAGTGCACCTTACTGTGGTGGACCCTTGCCTTCCAAAGCTATAGGCCCGAAGCGGTGAACATTAGGCTGCAGAGGTCATAGTTGAAAGCCGGATCAACGGCACATCGCTGAATCCCGATAAGAAACGGTGGAGGGATGCCCTCTTTTTCATTGAGTTACACCAAGCGAGGTCGAATGACAATGAAGGCCAAAAACACACAGGCAAAGCGGCGAACAAACTGAGCTGCTCAAGGCCACACCAAAGCTCTGACCCCAAGGTGCCAGCTCTTATTTTGAGCTGTTTCCTGAATTTTAGCCAGCTTCAGAGAGCCGCTTCCTGTACCTTTATGTTCAACCTGGGACTTGCCTTTCTGTCCCCTATAGCCACGAGACTGATACGCCCTATAGACCCTAAACTCCCAGCTCAACCCTAACCCTAAAAGACACCCACCCCCACCCCCCCGCCCCCATACCGCAAACAAAGCAACAATGACATGTGCACGCACACACACACACATCCAATGCCTGGTACAAGTTTGGTCCATGTCGGGGATCTCTTTGGCGGGGGTTGCTGTCCGGATCGTCTTCGGGCACTTTGCCGCTGGTCCAGGCTTGCCTCACCTTTAGGAGGTTTGATTTAGGGCTACGTGTTTATAGGCACATCAGCATTTTGGGAGCAGCATTAACATCGGGTTCATGGCATATAGGATACAATCGGGTGTAGGGCATACTAATGCAGGGCTTCGAGCTTTAAGACTCAAGGCTTCAGTTCGGGGTTGAAGTTGTTGATGCCAGGTGCTGGGTTTCTGGCTGGCATGCAGGATTTGGATGGATTTGGGAGAGAGATTCCAGCTGTGACACGCGAAGCTTGGGGAAGTGTGGACAATCCGTTGTCCATGTTTCAGTGTAGGCAAAGACGGTAGCCCAGGTGAACAAGAAAGCTCGATGTTGTCCAAATGCAGGCTCGGCATGTGGCATGCTTCGAGCATGGTCGTGGGAATGTGCATAAGGAACCATACAAGTGCAAGCTCTGCTATGCTGCGTGCTGCAGAAGCATGAGACCCACCACTTGGGCCACTCTGGCCAAAGCCCGTGCCTCGTGTACAAAGGTGTAGAATTCTGCGAGTGTGATGCACCACCTCTCCGGTGGAATGCGCATCTGCACCTCCATGGCTCGACTTTGTCGAATGCCCTGTGCGAGCTGAGCAGAGTGCCTTGGGCTTAAAACGCAGCTGAGCACGTCCACATGCCTTTAAGCAACAAAACCACTCCGAGAGGAGGCCGCTAACAGTATATAGTGCGTGGCAGTAGACCCCAGGAGCTTGTTTTTCCAAGTCCGATGTCAGGCTTTGCATCAGAGCCGTCCCTCGATTGGGGCTCAAAAGCACAATGCCCGAGTGAGCTTTGCTCGAAGCAAGCCCTCGGTCTGCACTCAAGAAACAGGACCTATAGATCCTAAACCCTGTAAACCAACCAAAGGGCAGAAAACCTACAAACCCTAATCCCCAAAAGTCAGTTGTTTTGATTCCGTGAACCTGACAGCCCAGAGCCGCTGGACTCCGATGCCTCCGTTTCGGAACCGTCGTTGCTAGGCAGGCCTGCAGCAAAGCAACGTCGAGGCCAGGGATTTACCGTGCTCCCCACGAAAAAGTTGAAGGCGTGATCACAACAGTCGCCCAGCAACTTTAGACTTTAGACGATCATCCACGGAGATCACTTCACCCCCGGCAACTCTGTAAAGTAACATTCCCGTACCTCCAAGCTATGGTTAGAACGACAAGTAATGAACCACAAAACGAGGCAGGGCAGCTGTAGTCGCACAACCCGGCCACCGCGAGCTGCGCGCGGAAAACCTGCCGGCGTCTCCGACACATGCAGACAAACTGGGAAGCCCTTTGAACCAATCCTCCATCACGGTTAGAACTCCTCCCGAAACCTAAACCCAGTTCCACAGCCAAGCTTCCCATGCACAAGGCTCGTAACACTTCGACAGTCCCCGCCTAACATTACGTACGATCCCTCCCCTCCTCAGCCTCTTAAGCACTTCCTCAACTCCGGGGTCTGTTCCCGAAAACCCAATTTCCCACTGTAGCTTAATGCGCTTGGGCCCTGCGTAACTCCAAATGTAACTCTACAGCTAGCAGGGCTTCTTCGAGCCTTTCCAGGACCCAGCACAGCAAGTCCAGTGCCGAGTAAAGCCAGCGCTGGACGGAACCAGGTGACCATGATCCTGCCCCCACACCCTCAATCCATCGGTGTTGCAGGCTAGTTACGGCTAGTTAGGTCGTTGGGCAGGTTCAGGGTCTGAGGTTCAGAGACTATGGCAAAAAAACAAGGTTTTTACGCCTAACTTGGCTTAATCCCGGATGAGCCCCTAGAGCCCTGAGCCGGGATCTTGGGTGGTAAGGACATTGGATGGTGGCTGTACGAGGATGAGGCCTTCAGGTAATTGGCTTCTTCTGCTCCTCGATCTATCTTGGTCTTGCAGTAGCCATGAGCAGCGCCTCAAGTTCACAAATACTACACACAAACATTCTCCAGGACTCCCGGAATCCTAAATGGACCATGAGAGCGGTGAGAATCCTGAGGGAGATGTTGAATGCCAGCAAGCTGCAAGCTTTGCTGGCAGTGCTTTGGGAAGGGTGCTTGCCATTTGTGCAACGCGGCTGCGCGACCCTGAACCGGAAGCTCGGAACACACTCACTAGATACTTCACTTGATTCAGAGGTTGTTCCGCTCCTGCAGCAATTCTTAGGGTTTAGGTTGCGCAATGAAGGGTGCTCGTGCTGTTGCAAACTCAACACAAACCAGCATGGCCTCAGCAGGGGCGCTGGACATTTTTCGGTCCGTGGGGCTGCGTGCCGCGTCATGAAAGACCTTGCAAAGCGCAGTCACAAGCCCCGCCGCCGAGTGCAAGGATAGGAAAACCTCTCTCTGCCACTCTGCAATATACCTGCAGCTTCAACACAGATGCTCTTATTCAAAGCGCTGGGGTCATTACCTACAGTTTCGTGGGTTTGGGCGGCAGGTCTTGGACGTGCTTTGAGTTGTAGATTCGGACAAGACTGCGAAAGCGTTTGGGGGTCCAGCACTACAGCCGGCAGAGGATCAAAGCCATCGTCGAAATATATATGCGAAATCGAAGAAATGGAAGCACAAGACCTCTTACACTAACTGCTAAAGCTGCCAGCAGACAAGTGATCCTCAATGCCAACGAAGACAGGCACACCAAGAGCCGCCATGGCAGAAACCGTCCAAACTCTGACCTCGCAGTGTTCAGCACAGGGAAGTCTTACGGCATGCCATCCTGGAAAGATGTAAAACGCGACTTGAACGTGCACCCCTCCGCGGTCTCTACTGTATGGAACGTCGGGCCGGGGATGGCTATTCATACGAATGATATACATGATAGAAGCAAAAGAGCAGAAGAGACAAAATGAAAGAGGCTCGGCTCTTTTTGCGAAGTACTGAGGTTCTCTGTAGGGCAACTGTTTCAATGTCATTGTCTTCAACTAGGTGGTCCCCTTTGATCCGTAATTACCAGCCGGGGCTGAGTCAGGAGCTTGGCATTTTTGATGGTGACTCTCATTTCTTAATGTGCACCGAATTCGCCAGCCACGTGTTGTTGCACGTTGCTTGCTGATATAATGAATGACATGAGGTCGGAGACGTCTCATTTTAGCAGGCCTTGGTCGGGTTTGGGGGTGTCGGACGCAGGAAGAAGTCTGCAAAAGAGAGGGCTTTTAGACTAAACAATAATCATATGTACCACTACTGCAATACACACGCTTCAAAACAGCAAATTTCCTTCGATACCGCCCAGGACACACCAACCCGACACCACTGTTGTGAAAAGCCTATCTCCCTCTACGGCCCCGGGACGCACCACCCCTGCACCCGGGATTGGGGCGAGGTTTTGTAGGCACACTATCCAGGGTTCAGGACATGTTGGGGGGCGCCCAGAATACCGAATGAACACGTCCACAGAATGCCTTGAACATCCATTATCTTGCGAATTGCCACTCTCTTGCTGCAGCCTGAATGCAGAGAAAACGGCGCGCTCTGGCCCATAGCGCTCCAATACGAAGGCCGTTATGGGAAGAGCGAGTGCAACCAGAGCACAAACCCCAATGGAAACATCTGTCCATACGCTGTCCTTGTCAAAGGCAGAAGCAGTCTTCGCCATCGTACAGCAACAAGACATGAGCCGCCAACTGTTAAATACAACATACTCGCAAGACTCTTGATCGTCATGTAGCTTTCCAAGCCCCTGTTCAATAAACGTAATGCCAGACAGGAAACAGTGTCTGCGCATCGGACCCAGCTGCGAAAGCCCAGCGAATGCCTGGACCGTTTTTCAAGCCGTTGCCCTGCATGTGTGCACACGATCCTGCATACCGTGCCTTGGGCAGCTGATTAAACCAATGCGAGGGGAATGAGAAGGCTGGAACACACAGAAGCTGGCCGAAAGCAAACATAATGTAAGATAACTGAGAAGATGAAAATGCAAGCATCTCACACGCCGCACCACAAAAACATAATACTGCTATATGGCTATGGATTGCTATGGAGGTGCACAAGACGATCGGCACCTCGGCCAGATGCACGCACGCACGCACGTACCCACGCGCGCTTGAAGGCACGCACGCGCGCGCACACCCACACACACATAAACACAAACACAAACACACAAACACACATACACACACACAAACACAAACACAAACACAAACACAAACACAAACACAAACACAAACACAAACACACACACAAACACAAACACAAACACAAACACAAACACAAACACAAACAGAAACACACACACACACAAAACCACACACACACACAAACAAACAAACAAACAAACAAACAAACAAACAACCAAACAACCACACACACACACACACGAGGGTTCTCCTGCTGCAGGCCCGAACTGACGATTGAAGCTTGGGTTTGGGTAGCCGTTTGGTCTGACATGTCCAAAGGAGAACAAGTGTCGAATGTACCCATGATGCATCACATCATACTCTACTCTACTCTGCTCTACTCTACTCTCTACTCTGCTCTACTACGCTGTCCTACCATAGATATATATATATATATCTCTCTCTCTCTCTCTCTATCTATACACACACACACATATACATATATATATATATACAGCTATAGCCTGCTCTACCCTGCTCTACTTTTCTATACTGTACGATACTATGCTATACGTTACTGTGTTATACCATGCGTTCCTATACTATACTGTAACCTTACTATACGTCGCTATACGACAGCATGCTAGTCGGTATGGCAAGACAAGATGGGTATGATCTGACCTGGTATGTTCTGATATGATATGATGGGAGATGATCATACAGTATGATATGATATTCATGAAAGTAAGAGCGTATTCAACAGGTTTTACGTTTTAATTTCTATTCATATTCGCATCTGTTCGATAATGGTAGACTAGACCAGACTATAATGCAATATCATGTGCTAATAATGCAGTAGAATACAATTCAATACAAGACAAGACAAACATACACTTTGATAGAACATAGCATAATATGACATAGAAAATGTAATATTATGTCCTTTTTCAGTTCACGTAATATGGCTCTGTCAGGCGAGATTCAAATCGATTATGGGATAAGGTTAGATTAGATAAACAAATGTATAGCTATCTCACCGATGTGACAATGTCAAAACCTATATTATGCCAAGTACAGCCTATAGTAAGCCCGACAAGCGAAGGCTCTGAACCCTAAACCCCGAACCCTAAACATCCGCCAGGCATGGCTCAATCCAATCCCCAGGCATGAGGAACCCACGGCGACAGATGCTGCGCAGCACATCCTCGTAAGACGTTCGACGGGTTAACCCAACGGCTTTGGTGCCGAGGGCTTCAGGCATGAGGGTTTGAATCCTCTGAGTTTAGAGTCTGTGTGTGTGTGTGCGCTTGCGGATCTCGAAAGCTTCCGTCCTGAAATCTTGGACCTGAGTTCCTGCTGCCCTGGTTCTTTCTGGCGCCTCTTCGTGACGCTCGTGCTTGAAGTCATCAGCAGGTTTGGATCAATTTTGGGGCCATGCTTCACAAAAGCCAGCAGATTTCCCTGGAGTCCCGACAGCTTCAACGGAGTGGAGATCGAGAACCTGTTTGCCTGAATCCAAACTGGA